GCGTTTGCAGGTGGTATCGGGTGAACAAATCAACCCCTTAGTCAGATCGACTATAAGTTTCATGTCTCATCTAAAGAAATAAATAGAATAATTAATATGGCCTTTTAGACTTTATATAAAATGACATGCCGTAGTCGGTTGTTTCCCATCATGCATCATGTTGTGTAGAAGATTTTGATCCATGAATTGTTATTTACAAATCATCTTCCACCTAATATAACATGAGTAAGAAAATCATCTTCGTTAAGTATACGTTCGTTAATACAGATTAATACTAATATACTTTAACAGTAGAAGAATATAATTTTGTTGCATCTTGTTATATATTCACGAATTTAAATATAAATTTATGATCAACCGTAAAAAAATGCTACTTCTCTAACTAAAACTCAAAATTGTTATAAATGCAAAATAAACTTTGAAGAAATGATTCAACAAATGACTAGAAAGCGAAGAAGAGTATCTTTAGGGAAATGCATAATGAAGAGGAGATAAACAAAAGAATCTAGAGACATCGCTTAATAGAAAGATGATAACAATGGATTACTCTCTCAAAATTCTCTAGGTATCCTTATGCAACCAAATGCCTAGGAAGAGTTCCAACCCCATTTTTCCTATGGTCTCTACCCCTCTTCTCCTCTTCTCTTTTCATCCATTCTAGACATATCAGACATAGACCATGTTTTCCGAACGTGGTCCCAAACACAATAAACACTCTCGCTCGAATCTTTTATTCTATGGTGGTAGTCTTGAACGTCAGAGAATCTTCCAGAGAAAATCCCTTCTTATTATCTCGAATATGTTCTTAACGATATTATACATGCATGGTTCAATGCATCTTTAGAGGATTGTCGTATCTCACCAAGAAAACTTAAGCCGAAGTGCGTCTCTCATCCCTAAGAGGACAGAAATCCAAAGTTGCTAAGTATTCATGATTATTGAACGTAGAAGTCCAATTGATAATTATAAGCTACTAAAATTATAAATTTCAATTATGATATATACCTTAGTTAATTACTAAATGTAATGTTTTCTTAAGGTATTTTTAAATTTCGGTCAAGGCTCTAACAAAAATGAAGTGGACAAAAAGTTTCACTTAGAAAATATTAGATTTTTGGTGTAACTTTTGTTGCGCTCTTACGATTCGTTTCTTCATAAATCCACATGGTAAAGCCACCCAAACACCCCCCCTCCATGAAAAGTCATGCATTTGATCTTCAATCAGTCATTGTTGCTTCTGTCTCCTATACACCGGTTCTTGATCATAGAGAACGCTGCTTATGATTCATGGATGCAAACTTAGTATTCCTTGATAGTGTCAAAGGTACAAGTCGTTGACTTAAGTTTGATCATCGCATGCGGGAAATTTGTAATCATATAACTCAATCGAATCGGGAAATCAACAAAATCATCAAACCTATAAAACACTAAAAGTGCAAAATTATGATTTGCAATGGATCGAAAGCACCTATATTAACCAGAAAAAAAAGTTGTTATATGGCATGATAAATCGACGTTTACAGGAGGAGGGAATAAGAACAACTTTTGCTGTTCCTTTAATTTGTTTTTTCATGTATATTAAAAAATAACATGTTCGAAAAATTATATTTTAGTGACTAACAGTTTTGAAACAAAAAATATTAACTATAATTTTTTTCTGCTGAAGACGGTTTTAGGAAAAAATAACTATAATTCCATTATTTCAAAAACATTTTTAGCTAAACGGTTTTCCGAAATTTTTTTAAAAGAATACCTAAAATCTAATAATTATCTCATTTTATTGGTCATTGATTTGAACTAACTGAAATTGATCGGTCTAACCAAAATTAACCAAAATGTTTCATGAAAAACTGAATCAAACTATTACATCAGTTTATTCGGCAACATTACATACGAACCAAATTTTGCCATAACCAACCCGAAAAATATCAAAGAACCGATAAACCGAATCAAATAGACCAAAACTAACTTGGGATAAATTTTGTATTTAGATATAGCCTCTGGTGCAAGGATTCTAGGATTTAAGATCTATGTATTGCTTTCAGTATTTTACGTGCATTTGTAAGGATTAAGGTTAACATGTTAGGGTTACGACCCCTTAATTTGTTACAAATATTATTTGGTTTCAATGTTTTACATATATTTGTGAGCGTTGTAGGCTCACATATTATGATTTAGTATCCATTAATTCGCTTAAAAATAAAATTATAAATCAAATTTTCATTTCTAAATAAAAACTATATCAAAGTTTTCAAAATTATCATTTTCACGCAAAGCAATTAACACTCACGATAAGATTTTGAAGAAAAGGCTAAGCTCGCTATGAAGTACATCAAGCGTCTCAAGACACATCAATCAGAATCGAAACAAATTGGATTCGACAAAATAGCCCAATTCCATAAGTTATCCGACATGTTTTTTATTGTATTGATAACGAAAAAGTTACAATAATTATTGCTCTCAAAGTGTCTCTATGTTTATTTCGTTAGAATTTTGAATCGTAAAAAAATGAATAATTGTTGCTTGATTGTATTCTTGTTTTTCTTTTGATTGTTTTGCTGTGATTTTTATCTTTCACATTGATTCATTGGTGAAGTGAATTCTGTTTTTGTCATCATGATAACTGTATGGAAGGAATAATAAAAATAAAAAGATTTTTTCTCAATTCACAAAAGTTTTAATTGCACTAACTTGTTATTAAGTTTAGAGAAAAAACTTTAAAATCTTAGATTTTTAATATAGTACATTGTTGGTTTCAATAGATAAAATATCTATTTCCAAACCATTAAAATTTTATAGTAATACATTTCATTTGGAATCATATTTTTTTGTCAATATAAAAAAAAAGACAATGTCTAATATATATTATAACTTATTAGAATTGATTAACATTATAATTAGCTATTAAATTGTTGGAATTAATTGTCTAAGTTATTAGAAAGAGAAAAAAATTTATAATTTTCATTTTCTCTTGAATAAATAAATTAAAAAGACACATGATAAAAAAATAGGTGACACATGGCAACCTCTCATAACTTCAGCTAAAAAAAACTTACTATATTATATAAGATCAACTTCTCTGTTTAACTTATACAGATTTATTTACGTTGTTAAATGTCAAGCAATCACAAAAAAACTGGAAGAATACAATCATGAATCTATATTTATTGAGTATGGTTAACTTAATACATAATCGAACCAAGATGTATAATATAGTAGCTTTTGTTTAGGGTCGTCAGTGTGTCACCACTCAGATTTACATTTTTATAATGTTTACTAGATGAATCTCCGCATTCTACGCGAATTAATATTTAAAAAAAACAAATAAAC